CGGCAAACTTTTGAGATGGAACGTACCCAAAGAGCCGCATGTGGCTTATGAGCCGCAGTTTGCCGACCCCTGATCTGGATCTATGGACCCAGGCTAAGAACAGACCATAGGGATACAGAGCTCAACATGGAGAAGATACAGGAAGCTGGAGAGAGAAGGTTGTTGGATGGAGCAGAGGAATCAGAACTGAAGTATATTTTTCAGAATAAAGGGAGTTGCCCTTATTGTGAGAAGTCTCATGGCTTCCAGGATGGCTATGTCAGAGCCGTGCAGAAAGCACATGGGTCTTGCCCACAGTCTGGAGGCCATTATGCTCTCTTTTTCAATCAAGTTCAACCCCACTTCCCGATCCCCAGAGCCACTGCTGAGGTTCTGGCCTCACCACTTCCAGTTTGGACCATGGTTGCAGGGACGTCCTCTTCTTACTGCCCATCTCTCCCTCCCCATCAAAAAGTAAGTCTTACCATTGCCCTGCCTTTCTTATTAGCTTCCCAGTCACCAGCTCTCAGTATAAAACCCACACAGCCAGACATCAAAGTTCTAAAGACAAAGACACTCTATAACCTCATCTCTCCACTGTTCCTGCCTCCCCACATTCTAGCCTTTCCAAACTGTGCATCTTTTTCTCAACAAGCAAAATTCTCCCTTACCTCCCTGCCTCTGCACTTTTCTGACCAGAAGATCCTTTCCTTCCTTTAACATATGTGACTTCTACTTTTTCTCCAAAATTGACTATGCCAATTTTATTAAAAATACCTGTCTTCTGAGCCTTGAGAATTCTAATTCAGTACATACGCATATGTGGCAGAGCCCAGACCCCTGCAAAGTTAAAGAAGCTTCACAGGTAATCTTGGTGCATGAGTAAGTTGGAGAACTACTCCTTTAAATGATTCTTTTGGGGAGACACCTCTTCAGTCCTCCTAAAGTGCCATATTCACAATGCCGCTTAAAACTCTATTTCGTTTTGTTTTTTTAAATAATTTTCACATCAGCTAGTATGCATTTCTCTGTAATAAGCCAAAATTTTTTACCTGTTGTTTCTGGCTATAACCTATCTCTCTCTAATGGCTATTAATTTCTTTTTACACTACGGTGCTGGGTTCTATGATTAAATCTATTGGTATTTTCGAGAGCTAGCAGGTGCCAAAGTAAGCATTCTATATTAATAAATCTGTTAGCATTTTAATTGCTTGGTTTTCTCCTTTTCAGTTTACCTAGATGGAACAAAATCTGAAGAGGACCTCTTTTCACAAGTGTATGAAGATCTAAGACAAGAACTAGCAAAGCAAAAATGTAAGTATTGCCCTATCGAAGTGGCTGCTGAAGGAACAACTAAAAATATAGTTCGTTACATACCCAAAAATGGCATGCCAGAATGCTAATGTAGGAGTGATTGTATCCATTCACTCATTGCTTTGAAGATAATTCAGAATCAGAGACACTGAATGGGTTTGAGGACTTGATTATTTTTTAAGGGTGAAAATATTCACCCTTTGTTATATCTCTTAATGATATTTATGTTGTTTAGTTTAAACATTTTAGTCAATGGCTGTTATTTCAATGATACTGAAGTTGCCTTTGGATCAAGTGAAGTTTAAATGCTGGTGATCTTGTTTTAATATGTCTAGAGCTCCCCTTCTCCTTTATTCCTTTTAAAGATGTTCCAGGAATTTCTATTTCCCAAATACCTCAAAAGTAAACACAAGATTTTAAAAATTATTTAAGTGTTTTTTAAGGTTTTCATATTAGATGACACATTTTGCAAGTGATAGAAATCCTCCTATATCTGGTTTAAGCCGAAAGAAAGTACAGGGTTGGCAATCACTGACAGACATCATGTCTGTTGGAAGCACCATCCTCCTATGTCCAACAGCCCCAGTGGAAAAAGAGAGTTTATCCTTTTTCAAGATTGTCCGTGAGTTGATAAATGTTGAAGTTAGGTGTTGTATAAAAAGGGTTTACATATTATTCTCACTACTTTTGCATATGTTTAAAATTCTTTATTTTAAACAGTATTTTAGAAAGCAGTTTTCCATTTTAGCCCAGCTGAAAAGTCCCAGGGAAGACTCTGATTGGTCCTTCTTGGGCCACATGACTTTTGCTAAACCAATCATATGACCAGGGAGGTGGCATACTCTGACTACCTAAGATTGGATCATGTACTGATCTTGTAATTAAATACATCTCCTAAGGCCTCCAGACTTAAGGGGAGAAATTCCCCAAAGGGAAAGCAGGTCAGGAAGTAGAACCCAAAAGAAGAAGGATGACAAAGCATGCTGGGAGAACAAAACTGTAGATCTAGCTGCTGTTATATTTGAACTAAAATGGTTTTCATGGCTAACACGTGCAAAATGCTATCATCAGCTGATCACAAGAAGACAGTATTAGTCACTCCAGCAATGAAGAATATTATGTGGTTTTTTGGTGAGATCCACTGCCCTAGTCCAAATGTCATCATCTCTCAATAAGAATTAGATTTCGTATGTCCTCAGTAAATTCCTGTCTGACTAGGAGACTGAGCCCAGCCAGGCAGCCCACTGATCCTATATAATCCTAATTTCAGGATCATCAGCACTTCATGTAGGCATGAACCCATTTGAAGAAATTTCGAGACCATTTGAAAATTTCTTCTTAGTGGTAGTTATAATTCTTGCCAGATATGCCTGCCCACCCTTGCTATCTGTTACTTTGATGAAAGGCAGGCCTCCCACAGTGAAGCTCAGGTCACTGGCTTGAGTGGACATAGAGAGTGTAGGGAGAAGGGAGGGGCTCTGCCTTCATAAATGATAGCACCTGAGCCAGATCCATGTTACAGGGGTTATTGGCTCACTTTCTGGCCCAGAGAACATACTTCCTGGGCTGTTTTGGCTGTTGGACGCCTAGGCTTTTCCATCCTCTTGATAATGGCTGGTGCTCAGGTCCAATTCTCCTTTGGTGATTAAGTCACATACTGGAGTTTGGCCTTATGATCTACCTGCTGATCAAAATGAAAGGAGCCTTGATCGTGTAGGTCAGGCAAACTGCACCTAGTTCCATACCACATGCCAGCTTTTACCATCTGTTCCAAGGCCCAAGAATACTGGCATGTTTTGACGGGCCCTGTAAGCCCACAAGAAAGTGCATGTCCATGTGTGTGACACCCTGCCCCTTTCCTTGCCTACATCCTAGAGGCTTGTAAGGAAACATTCAACTATACCTTTTAAGGCTATCTTGCTTGTGTTCTAGATATTAGATAAAATTTAAAAAGAAAAATATATATAACAGAGACATTAGAAGAGACATAAAATTCAAAGCAGATCAGCTTTCCCTACCTCCTAGATCTATGTGATTTTGTTTTTTCCAGTTGCATAAATAAGTTCCTGTGTTGTATTAACGCACCACCTCTCCCATTTCTTCAACCACAGTACCCTGACAAAGCCAGCCTGGAAGGATCCTCAGCATAGCCTCATTTCACCCTCAGTTTGGGATTGAGGTAGTGGGGGGCCTTTCAGATGTTTCCATTGAGTACTCTTCAGGCGTCTCATAACGTCTCATAACCCTGCTTAACTAATTTTCCGTTCCAAGCATATAAAATCATAATTGTGACTAAGTAATAATGAAAGGGAAATAAAGATTGAATTTAATTGTTAACGAAACGGTTAATAAAAAATGACCTAGGAGAGTAGGGATACGAAGTTATATACTTAATTCAATCCTTATTTAAATCTAGATTTTGAGGCAAAATTGAATCATTCCTATTCTTATTATAACAAGACAGGGTAGCCACCAGGAACGTTCAAACTTCCTTTAAAATGTTTTTTTTCATGTCATTATAAAAGTACCTTAATAAAAAAGTTTTAATGTAAAAGCAAAAGAGAAAAAAATAATAATCTATATTTCTAGCAAGGCAATGTTAACATTTTAGTGAGTACACATCCAGTGTTTTCACTGTTCACGTCAGTCTCTTTTATATGGTTATATGAATTATAAGACTTGACATAGACATCTTAGTGCAGAAGATGTCACATGTCTAGTTTCAAATCATAGGAATAAAAAATTACAAAATAAAGTTGTAATCAAATTTTCGTATTTTTCTTTTTGGTATTTTTCTATATTGAATTTAAGATATAATTTCCAGGGCCGGCCGAGTAGCTCAGTTGGTTAAGAGCTCGCTCAAGAATGTGAGCTCTGAGGCCGGCCGAGTGTCTCCTTGGTTAAGAGCTGGCTTGGGACGCCAGAGGGCCCCGGTTTGGATCTCACATATGAGGGCCAGTGACACTGCCCTCTATAGCTAAGATGCTGAACAACCTAGAGCTGGGCTGCCATGATTTGCCGGCGATGGCGTAGGCTGCAGCCCCTGCTGCAGTGGGTTGCCATGGGCTACCATGTGTAGCCAGCAGCCAGCATGAGTGGCCATCCATAAGCTGGCGACTGATCTGCCTCGCCCCGGAAAAGCGCAATGATGGTGCCAACTTGGGCCAATGAAGCAACATCCTCCACAACTAAACTGAAGAACAAAAGGACAACAACTTGTCTGTTCCCCTTCCCCCAATTCCCCAGCACTGTTCCCCTCCCCCAACTCAGCTAAAAAAAAAAAAAAAAAGATATCATTTCCAATAATAAAGTAATAGTATAATTATCTAGTATAACAGTCCAAATTGACATAAGATTATTGAGTCATTTTCCAGCTGTTGAATATTTAGTATTCTACAAGTTTTTCACATTGGCAAATAACATGCTATAAAAATCTCTGCACATATTACTGCTTTCCTTCTTCAATTATATTAAGAATTTTTAAAAGTAGCATTTGCTTGGTCAAAGAGTATAATTGTTTTACTTTTTATATACTTGAAAGATTAAATATTATACCAAAAAAATGTGTGTTTCTCCAACATGAGCTGTGTAGTAAGAATGCAGTAGGTTTATCATTGGGTTTCTAAGCCAAGGTCAGTAAGTATTCAGCTAGGCTTCCTTAGATAAAGAAAAAAAAGTTAAAGCTAACAATACCTCTTTCCCCCAAATAAGGATAACACTCCAAAACAAGAATTCTACTGCAGCCAGCCACCCTTTGTGATATTCTTCTACTTCTCAAAGTATTTCATTCCTTGAAATCAAGGATTATTATACCAATTGCAAATGATATTGGATATCTGATATCTTCAGATAGGCTTATTGAATGTAATGCAAGGATTAAAAGAATGAGACTTGGACTCTATTTAGTTCTGTATAGCAAAGCAGCATTTCTGGCCCCAGAATTCGTGTAATCTTAACACCCTTAAAAAACTGTTGTGAGTGTGAAGATTGACTAAAATAAGAATTGGAATTCTCCATTAATTTTTTTTTTGTATTATACTTATTTCCCAAGGTCTGCAAGTAACAGCATAAAGATGGACTGTACTGAATCCTTTCTGGGATAAACTAGGAAACTCGAAGGAATATATTCAAGAACCTTAACCAAGATAATAGTATGTACTTTGGTACAATGGCAGCCGTTGTTTTGTTTGTTCTATCGCACATGATTTTTCCAAGTAAATAATTATCCATGACAATGGACAGGAATTTACCTTAGTGAGTTGTTCTCACTCCAAGGAGTGTATGCATATAACAGTTGAGTTAGTTCCTCTAGACCAATGATTGACAAACTTTTCTGAATGGGACCCAGAGTAAGAAATTATATTTACATCACAGTTACAATATATGTAATCTGTTGTGTGTGTGTGTGTTTGTGTATATGTGTCTGTGTGTATGTATGTGTCTCCTGTATGTGTCTATATGTCTGTACATGTATGTATAGTGAGTGTATACATACACATGTCAGGTATCATAAAACATTTACCTTATATACAATGTTCTGGTAATTTTTTTTTTTAATATTGGTTACCATCCCAAACCAATGGCCACTTCCTGCAAATAATGGTATTACTAGGAGTAGCAGTTACATTAAATACATCAACAATTCCCTGCAGTATCTTTTGTGCAAGTGTTTTGTCGTTGTTAATTCTGTTATTGTTTATTGCATATGTCTAAAACCACTGAATTATTGTGTCAATTTTATTGAGAAGATGTTACAAATAGGGGGCTTTTCCCTGTGTTTAACAATGTTTTTTTCAAACTAATGTTCTAAAATCACAGAAATAAGTTATAATTACTTCAATGACATGTAATACAGGAGACCTTCCATTGAAAAGTACAGACATGAGATCTGAATTGTGTGATTTTTTTTGAGACCCCTTTCAATGTTGGAATTTAAATTATCTACTATACTGATCAACTTTTTGTTTATAAATAACAAACAGATTTCTCAAAACCCACTCAGTGCTCACAAATATAAATTATATTGTTACATTAGCTTTAAACTTACTCTACAGACTCATTTGATCAGCTCTCATTGTTTCTATATTTTAACCAGCTTGCACTCAGTGATAATTATGGGTTTTTTTTTTTGGTCACACACTCTACAAAAAACAAAACAACCTGGGCTCAAATTACAGTTCATCTACTTAATAGCTATATGACTTTGATCAAGCTATTTAAAGTCTTGATTGCCTCATTTTAAAATGGGGATAGCAACATGACTTATTAGGGTATAGTGTAGAGTGAGGATAAAGTTCAAAATCCTTAATACGGCCTCCAAGGTGTTCCCTGATCTAGCCTCTGTGTAGCTCTCTACCCTCATTTCCCATCACTCAACCCGTTGCTGTTCAGCCAGAGGGACCTCCTCAACCTTCAACTTACCAGAACCCTTGCTGCCACACAGCTGGCACACATGCTGCCCCCAGTGCTTAGAGCAAACGTCTGCAACCCTCACCTCCCACCAGCTTGCTGACTCCTCCTACTCCGCCTTAATATCACCCCTTAAATCCCACTTCAGGGAGGCCTTCCTGTTCTCTACTTTCCCACACAGGTGCTCTCAAAGCTCTCCTACATTTTCTTCAAAGCACAAATTACATTAACTATATTGCCACTCACAGAATCACATGCTTAGTGGCTGCCTGTCCATCTAACCTTCAAGCTCAATGAAGGCAGGACCTACCTCTGTGCCTTAGTTATAAACACACCCTTGCCAACTAGCACAGTGTGTGGCATATGATGCTGCATACAAAAAATGCTGCATACTAAAAAAAAGAAAAAAATGCATACTTTTTTTATAAATTACTATGTCAGGAATGAGTTCACATGCAACTAGTATATTACTTGACTAATAGCTTAAACTCATTGGGGTTTTTTTTTTGTTTTTTTTTTAACATAACAGGAAAATCCAAGGCAGGCAGTGCTGGGTTTGTGCATAGAATTGTCAGATCTAGGCGGAAACATATGGAGGATACACAGTTAAATTTGAATTTCGGGTAAACTATAAATAACTTTGTAGTATAAGTACGTCTCAAATATTACATATTTAAAACTTGCTATTTTTCTGAAATTCGAATTTAATCTGGTGTCTTGTATTTTATGTAGCACCTCTACTTTTGACACAACTCAGAAATGTCTTGAAAAAGCCAGGGTCGCTCATTCTTGGCTTGTGGACCTATCACCAGGAGGTCACAAGAAGGCAGCAGAAGCTCCCCGAATAGTGTCAGCTATCAAGGCAGGAAGACAGCCACCCAACACTGTCTCCAACAGAGTTCCCCCTATGTCGCTTAGCCCGGAACTGACTCACATGGGCACTTCTCACTGCAAGGGAGGCTGGGAAGAGGATGTCATAATAAGTTTGGACCAATTAGGATTCATTGCCTGGGGCCATTGCCACGGGAACAAAATCAAGCCTCTTTTAGGAAGGAAGGAGGAGGAAACAGATGAGCAGCTGGAAGTGTTGGCTATTTTATCAAGCTTGGATTGCTGTCATTCCAAATTACTGTTGTCAAAACAGTCGAATTTTTTTTTTAGAATAAAAGTCTAGATATGATTTTTCAAGCTTGATTTCCAAGAATTTCTGACATTCTCCACATAGAGGGATGTCCGTACTGATGGAGAAGCATTACACTTGACTTTTCTCCCCATTTCAGCTTGTGAAACTAGGTCAGAGAAAGACCATCTTGAAGAGAAACAAAACCTTAACAGACATTAAAAATGGAAATATTCAAATTATTTCTGAAAGAAATACATATCTTTTGCTTACTATTATCAGTGAAACATCAGGAACTAGAAATAAAGAATATCAGTGCTTCATCTCTGGTGTGCGGTTTCACGTTACAATTACCCTTATCAAAGCAGTGAATGGGATATTGTATCTTTTTCAAAACACAGAGAAAATCTGAAATCTTTACTTTCTGTAAATAAATAACCTCTATCCTTTTAGATTAAATTTGCTTGTAGGAAGGCTTCATTGTACATGACACCAAACAGAGGAGGGAGTTTAAAGGTTACCTTTTAAAAATATGCTTGTGGTAGAACATAGAATCATAAAATGTTGGACCAATATCAACTAGTCCAATGCTGTATATTTCAGTATGGAAATTAAAACCAGAGTGGTGACCTGCTCAACCCCATGCAGCTAGTTAGTGGTGGGATCAGGGCCAGGCCACAATCCTTCACACACCACACACACACACACACACACACACACACACACACACACACACACACACACACTTTTAATTTTAAAACAAAGAATTGCACAAAAACCACCTGCTAGAATACGTCATCTCCCCCTCTCTCCTTTGAAGAGAGCACATTGAGGAACCTGGAAGGATCAGACTATATCGGGAAAATGAAGCTTTCTGTTCTGGGCTATTGGAGCCTAGTCAAGGAGGCAACTCATGCAGTTATCCCTCGGGCAGGGAGGAGTGGTGAGCTCATGTGCTGGTCTTAGGTTTGTGGCTCCAGCTGTTCCTCCAATATTCCATTCATGGTGGAGAGTTAGGAAAAAGCAAAGATATGGAAAAAGTAGAATAAGCATTACTCTCCTCTTCTCTGCACACACAGAAACAGATGAAAATCGTGAGAGAAGCTTTGGGGCCCTAATCAAGGTAGCGTGACCTGCAGATAGGAGCACATCAAAAAGAATTTCTTATCAAAGTGAGCATATCCAATGAAGTTATGCCCATTAGGCCAGAAACATGTCCTCAATGTAGCAAAAGTAGAGATGTAATAATATCCCTGCTAGCTTCCAGGTCCCAGAGAAGTTAGGTTGTCTTTTTCAAGTTTAAAAATTGAAACTAAAACTCTTCCCTTCAAGCTTGCGCAACAAGCTCCTAGAAGAGCAGTGGTTCTCACATGGCACGTGTCAAATTATTTGGAGGGCTTGTTAAGATACAGATTGCTGGGCTCCAACCCCCTTAGTTTCTGATTCAATAGGTTTGTTAAGTAGGGCCCTGCAATTTGCATTTCTAACAAGCTCCCAGGTAATGTGGATATTGCTGACCCAGAGACCGCACTTTGAGAGTTATTGCTTTTTAATGGACAAATAGCAATTTGCAGATTTGGACACTACCAGTCTGAAATTATCAGCGTTTTCAGCTCCTAAAGATATTACAGCATCACTCTTGTGCCAGTTATTGATTTTATTCACTCTTAGCTCCAAATTCTTCATTTTTGCCTCACCTGTAAAAATGAATCTGGGCCCTTTAAATACAGAGAATGCCAAAAAAAGGTATACACATTTTAAGAAAGGAAAAAAAAACTATTAAAATTGTAATACTCAGTATATACTGATAACAAAAGATGACTACAAGTCACATTTGACTTCTACAATTACAGGAGGAGCTAAAAGTGGTTACCATCTGCGTAATTTTAGTACAGTTTTTTCCTTTCTTAAAATGGGTATACATTTTTTTGGCACCCTCTGTATTTTTCCTTCCCAGGGTGGAACGATGTTAAGTTTTGTCAACAGAGGGCACTGGGGAGACAGACATTGAAGGAGAAAAGTGTTTTGCTTTTTGGTTCCTGTATGTCCACAACTGTAGCAAAGGTCTGATGAGACAGCTCCCCATGACTGGCTTTCCCATTGCACCCTACATGGGAGATTTCCCAAAAATCCCAGAGGATGGATTTCCAGCAAGTGGTGGTGGTGTCTCACCATGCTTACTTCCCTGCCGTTCAGTGAGAAAGGGCAGCGCCTTCTCTAGCAAGGTGTGGCTCTCATTACTGGGCTCATCTCTTCCTTGGGTGTTTCATCTCAGTCATAGGAGATGACTATGAACCAATCCACGTACCCTTCTAACATCGGAACATTCTATGCTCACTTTATTATAATATCACAGAAGCCAATACAATAGGCGAACAGAGGAATGAGTACCTGGAATCTGTAGCTACTCAATTCAAGATGCCATGTTCGTTCGACACATTCCTTGAACTTATCTCTGTGAGTTGCTGCTCTTTCTACCTCTCCGGGCAAAAGATAGACCCAGCAGACTCTGTTGGAACTTGTTTATCCTGGTATTCACTTTTTGTCTCTCTTCCTGTTTTACAAATGGGGGGATGTGGTCGCATAAGGCACAAAGGCATCAAGGAATGGTCTGTGCTGATTTGCATGTCCTCTCCATCTCGTCTGTTTAATAATACTCATCACAGCAGGCAGCACATAAATTATTGCATTCTGTGATGAAAGAATCATTTTCCAGAGACTTGAAGTTCTTAGGAGGTAACCTAGCTTTATGAAAAATAAATGCAAGAGCCTGGTGTGTTCATGGCAGCTGGGCTCTTCCAGCACCCTGAGGTTGCCCCTGCTCCCATCTGCCCTCATATGCTGCGTTACCATGCCCTAAACACCAGCCATCTCCCCAGACGAGCCAGCAGCCTGTGGAGGAGGGCTGCATGAGGCTCCGCTTTGCCCTCCTCCCCCAGCATGCCAGGGCTCTGCGCACGAGGTCTGCATGGCCTGAGGGCTAGGACCTGTAGGGGGCCTACGATTATACAGCACCACCCATGGAGAAAGCCATTGTGAAAACCTATGTTCAGATAGCTCTGTCTTCTGGGTGTTACGGAAGAATAGCACATCCTGGCTTGGCTGCAAAACACTTTATAGATGCAGGAGCTGGTGTCATAAATGAAGATTACAGAGGAAACCCTGGTTTTGTGGTGTTCAATTTTAACAAAGAAAGTTTAAAGTCAAGAAGGGTGATCAAATTGCACAGCTCATTTGTGAAGGGATTGTTTTTAAATCCAGAAACAGAGGAAGTTGAAGTTTTGGATGACACTGAAAGGGATTCAGGAGATTGGGTTCCACTGGAAATAATAAAAATTTATGTCAAGAATAAAAAAAGGAAAATTTTCTTTTTTCTTCAAAAGTTTGGCTTAAAAAAAATACATGCAATAATGAAAATAGCTATCATTTGTAGAATACTTGCCACATACCAGCCAGCATTCTAAGCTCCTACATATATTATTTAATATTCATTAAACTCTGTTAGAAGACACTATTATTTTTCAGATGAAGACACTAGGGCACAAATAGGTTAAGTAACTTGCCCAAGGCCACGGAAGTAGTGGCAGAGCCAAATTCATGTTTGAGTTCTGCGTTTATGCTCTTAACCAGCGGTTCTCAACCTGTGGGTCGCTACCCCTTTGGGGGTCGAACGACCCTTTCACAGGGGTCGCCGGGTACTCGTATGTGGGCGTATCTGCATGTGGGCCTGGAGACGGATAGAGGACTGGTGTCTCGGTTCCTAAGACCATCGAAAATATGTGTTTTCTGATGGTCTTAGGCGACCCCTGTGAAAGGTTGAGAACCGCTGCTCTAGACCCTCATTATGAAGCCCTCCAGACTTATATTTATTTCCTTACTGAAGCAGAGGTGGTACAGGGCTGGGAAAAGGAGTTTCCCCTCCTATGATCGCCCTGACAATACTGGGTTGAGGATCGATTGCCTAACGTCTACAGCTGCTAGAAACAGCAGGTTTATTTGGTGGGAGAGTTGACATCTATATTGGATAATCACAGGTATTTGTATTCTTAGTAAACCACAAATAACATGGATAAGTAATGTTTACTTCTTACCATTAGAAACCTTGACTCACACCGGCAACTGCGTAGGCTGCAGCCTCTGCTGCAGTGGGTTGCCATGGGCTACCGTGTGTAGCCAGCAGCCAGCATGAGCGGCCAGCAGCCGCTGTGAGCAGCCGTCCAGAAGCCGGCGACTGATCTGTCTCGCCCGGGAAGAGCGCAATGATGGTGCCAACTTGGGCCAGTGAAGCGACGTCCTCCACAACTAGACTGAAGAACAAAAGGATAGCAACTTGTCTGTTCCCCTTCCCCCCCCCCCCAAAAAAAAAAAAGAAACCTTGACTCAGTTCACATTTAGGCATATTTGTAAGTTGTCAGAGCAAGTAAAAGTTTGAGGCAATTAGCAATAGAGATGATGTTACCTGAAAATCATTCATTTTACCCAAACACATATAGGAACACAAAGTGTTTCCCATCTTTCGTGTTACCTATCCTTTCATATCCATGACAGTTAGACTGTCCTTAAGAAATGTTAACCTCATTGGACAAGAAAGGAAAATGAGGTGCCAAGATGTTATTTGGGGTCACTCAAGAAGTCTGCATTCAGGCCGGCTGAGTGGCGCATTGGTTAAGAGCTGGCTTGGGACACCAGCTCTGAGCAGCAGGGCCCCGGTTTGGATCCCACATGAGGGCCAGTGACACTGCCCTCCACAGCTAAGATGGTGAACAACAGTTCGACCTGGAGCTGGGCTGCCATGAGTCCCTGGTGATGGCATAGGCTGCAGCCCCTGCTGCAGTGGGCTGCCGTGAGCTACCGTGAGTGGCCGCCAGTCGGTGTGAGCTGCCAAGAGCCGCTGTGAGCGGCCTCCAGAAGCCGGCGACTGATCTGCCTCAGCCAGGAAGAGCACAATGATCACAATGCCAACATGGGCCAGTGAAGCAACGTCCTCCACAACTAGACTGAAGAACAAAAGGACAACAAGTTGTCTGTTCCCCTTCCCTGATACCCCAACGCTGTTCCCCTCCCCCAATTACCCAATAAAAAAAATCTTTAAAAAAAGTCCGCGTTGGAGCCAGATTTTTCATAAAAATCGTACAAAGGTAGATGTTTCTAGAGAATTGAATTTATTTCAATATAAATTGTGAACTAGGTCTCTTTTCCAATCTAATATGCTTTCCTTGGTTCTCTTTTTTTCTTTCCAATAGGCTTGTAATGAAGCTTACAATGAAATGCTCACAAAAACAAAACAAAACAAAAACGACCACAATCTTAGGATACAGTAAGCCTGGGCCTGCAATTATAGGGTCCTCTGTTTTTTGGGAAGTCCCATGCTGCCAGGAGATGTAAATCAAGGATGTAGCAGGTGGAGGAGGG